AAATTCTTTAGGCAGTTAGTGGGGGAGGTCAAATGTCCATCAGAGAAAACAATCAAGGTAAAGAGATATATTTCAGGGTGGCCAAATCTTGATCTCCCACACTATATAATTTATCATTTAAATAAGGCCACTTTTGAGGGTGAAAGAAAGCATAAACAATAATTAGGTGAAACTACAGGTATAAAACAGAGTTCTGGTCAGACTGGGACATACGGTCACCCCATCTAAAACTAAAATATTAAGAAATATGCATTATATGTCTATCAGTAGGAGTTGGTACAATTCTTTAAAATCATTTTTATTAAAGTGTAAGCTAAGCTGCTGTAAAAGCTGGCAAAAAATACAGACTCTTACATAACAGCACAGAGGAAAGCAAGTGGTTCAGGATATTCGGGGTGATCTACTTTTGTGCTCAATATTTCCTTAGTTTGCTTGATCTGCTTGGTTAAATATGGCTCATCAGCAGCAAGAGCATGTTCCAGACTGTGAAATGGGGTAAAAAGTACTTTTAAGAAAGTGACAAAAATTTGTGCCCTTCATTTCTACTTCCATTTCAGTGGAGAGAACTTAGTCATGTGGCCACATGTAGCTGACCAGTCATCTGACTTGCTGAAATGTGGGTGTGGGTGACGGGGATATTCTATCACTAGAAGAATGGGGAATTAGACACAGAGAGAATTTAGGAGTCCTTTTCACAGGATTGTTTCCCAAATATTATATGCTGAAAATTATCATCAGAATTCCATGGAATGCTTATTAAGTTGTATGTCTCTATAGCACTACCCCTGTGATCCTTTATCAAAATCTTTGAGGGTGGGAACTAGGAATGGACATTTATCACCAAGCTCAGGAATTATTATGCACATTTTACTTTGAGAATCACTTCAAATATATATATAAGACTGGAGCTATAATTTTAGAATGATTATTTAAATATCATAGCTCCTTTTTATGTAAACAAAAGATAATTTCTTTAACTGTTCATTTGCAAAAAGTACTGCTTTTTTAAACAATAAGCCTATAAAGTTATTTTTCACTTATACATAAATAAAATGAAAAGGCTATGTTGAACCATAATGTTCTCCTTATGAACCAACATATTTTAATCACCATATTTCTGAAAAAAATAGATATGTTAACCAGAGTGGCTTAAAGTGAGATTTTCAATATGATTATTTGGAAATACAGTTTAGTTTCATCTTATACTGTTATTAGACTTCTAGTGTATGAAACAAAAAATAGCATATCAAAAATTAGCCTTTATATTAACTTTCAGTTATTAAATCAAAAAGGTCTGAGGATCTAATGTATAATATGGGAACCAGAGTTGATAACACTGTATCACTGTTTGTATAACTGAAATTTGCTAAGAGAGTAGAACTTAAACGGTCTCACCAAAAAAAAAAAAAAAAAAGGGGGTCATAAATGTGTTAGTTAACTCAATTGGATAATCTTTTCGTACTGTATAGATATATGAAATCACCACGTTGTACACTTTAAATATCTTACAATTTTACTTGTCAATTAGACTTCAATAAAGAAGGAAAAAAATTACCCTTTATTATGTTGGATTATATTGTATTAGATTATAACCCAAATTATAAAATAAATATCCATAAATCCATACTGTTATAAATAAATGATTGAATAAATAAATAAATGGAAGAGAATATACAAATCTTCTATGCAAAAGAATTCTAAATAATTCATGTACATACTCTGCCTTCAAGGAGATGGAACATAAGTCCTCACTCATTAAGTGTTGACTATATGTATTAACTTCCCTCTACCAGTACAATATGGAAAGGAGGATAAAAAGGTGACTTTACAAGGGAGAAATTTGGCAAACATTACTTCAGCCAGTTGATCAAGGTTAACATCCATCAGTGATAAGTCATATTGATTGTATGTACTCTATTTGATATGATGAAATGGGACTAGCACTTTACCTCTCTAGTCTTCACACTTTTCCCACCCCTCTTATAAATAACCCTAGTCCAATCATGAGAAAATTATCCGACAAATCTCAACTGAGAAACATTCCACAAGTTACCTGACCTTGTAAGATTCCTCAAAATTGTCAAGGTCATTAAAAATAAGAAAAGTCTGAGGAAGTGTCACAGACAAAAGAGGCCTAAGGAAACATGACCACTAAATGTAATGTGGCATCTTGGATGGGGTCCTGGACCACTACAAAGACACTGAGTAAGAACTAAGGAAATCTGAATAAAGTATTGACTTTAGTTGATGGTAATGAACCAATATTGGTTCATTAATTGTGACAAATGTACCACACTAATGTAAGATGTTAAAAGTAGTGGAAACTGTGTGTGGGGTATAAGGTGTATATGAGAACTCTCTGTACCATCTTCACAACTTTTCTGTAAATCTAAAACTATTCTAAATTAAAAAAAAAATTAAAACAAATGATCTTTGACAGCTATTTCTTCAGTTGAAATTCTCATAAAATATTTGCCGTGAATTTAGAGGATATGTTTTACCAAGAACACATTTATTAAAGCTTTGGGATTTGATTTCCTATTGAGATATGCTTTTGCTTGGAGAAGCACAATGGAACTGAGAACACTAAGGACTGGACAGATGTAAGTCACCCTCGTCATAATCATTCCTAGGTATAAGCCCTGTGAGTGGAATGGCAGGGGTTTTCCCAAGGCTATTAAGTTACTTATATTTTCTCCTTGGTTTCCCCACTGCATTCAGAAGAGTTACTGTAAGTTAAAGATGTGTACAATGTGACACCACTATGTTTGGAATCAGAGGAGCAAGTTCCTAAAATTCTAGATATATTGAAATTATTTGTGCATATGTTAGTAAAATTCTTAATGTAGCGCTTGTGGAGAAAATTTAATGTGCATGTGTATTGGAATATTTGGAATGGAGACTATCACAACATAGATTGGTTAGGAGACTGTTATGGAAGTTTTGGTATTAAATTATGAGGGTAGTGGCAGTGGGAATGGATAGGAACATAATGATTTGAAGAAACCGTGGAATCCATACAGATGGGGAAAGATGGGATAGAACAGGGGTTAGGAGAAGGTTTGTGAATCTGATCACTCAGTAGATATTTACTAACAAATGTTTGATGGAGTGAAAAAGGCAATATAAGATCACAAAGTTAGAAGTAGTGTGGTTAGTGGATTAATCAAATCGGATATCTTCAGTACTACTCAAAGATCTTTATAACCTTATGATCTTTGTAACCTTTTAAATACTTAGTGTCCTAGCTTGACAGTTTATATAGTGAGGACAGTAATTTTTTCCACCTACCTTACGGGGATGTGAGAATTAAGAAGCTAAATTTCCTAAAAACATTTTGAGCTCTTCATGGGAAAGTCACGATACAACATTGCTAGAGAGGGGATTTACTACAGCGTGAATTACCATTTTGCCACAGGAAAAACAGATTTTCAGTAAGAGCAGAAATGAAAGAATATGCTTTAAAAGATTCACTTTGCAGGGCCAGCTCTATGGCATAGCAGTTAAATGCGTGCGCTCTGCTGCTGGCAGCCCAGGATCATATCCTGGGCGCGCACTGATTCACCGCTTATCAGGCCATGCTGTGGCGGCGTCTCATATAAAATGGAGGAAGATGGGCACAGATGTTAGCCCAGGGCCAGTTTTCCTCAGCAAAAAGAGGAGGATTGGCATGGATGTTAGCTCAGGGATGATCTTCCTCACACACACAAGATAAGATTTACTTTTCCTATATTATTATCTGATGATGTGATATATATTAATTTGAAGGTCTCTAATTCATAAATATGCTTAAGAAATTAGTATATTTCCCTGTTCAGGTTTTATCTTTTTGTCTTTTAAAGATTTATTTGTGCATCATCTTTTCTTTAAACCTTTCCCACAATGGTACACACTATCAACTTTCTCCTTTTAAATGCCCTCCTTTGAACCTCCCAGTAATTGTCTCTCTCAAACAGGATTATTATGCTTTCATCTCTCAAATATTTTTATCAAGACAGACAACTCTCAATAACCATCATTAAACACAGGAGGTCAAGATTTGATCTCAAAGGAGAGAGATGAGGCAATCGAGGATGAGGTGGAAAGCTACCTCAGGTTCAAGGATTAGCCTGTGGCTTTTTCTCTGTTCTTTTCTCCTTACCTCTGTACTAATTCCAGTGAACTTCCTTTTAGCTAATTGTTTGCATGATCACTGGTTGAAAAATGACATCATGAACATGACATTTATTTTTAAGTCAAACATCTAAGATTTACTCTCCTTTATAGTATTACTAGCTGTATGAGTTTAGGCAAATAATTTACTATTCCAAGCTTCACAGATTGATGAGAAGTTTCAGTGAGATCCAGTACATAATAAAGTTGTACATAGCTGTATTTTAATGGCTTTCCATTTTATTTTTCCTGCCTCCTCCATTATGAAAGCCATCCATTTTGGCCTCCTCTCTTTGTTCTGATTATGGACTTTTGAGTGCATTTTAGATACTCTGTACTGCTTTGAACTCTGATATTATTTATGTACTCAGATTTTTATGACTGTCTTGCGTTTCGATGAATCACTGCTCACATGCTCTGGTTCTTATGGTTATGCTCCTTATGTCCTAGAGACAAGTATAAGTATGTGCACTCTCCAAATCTAGTACATATATCTCAAATAATCATTTACTGACTTCTGCTACTTTCTTCGATTTGCCTCCTTGATGGGATTGTGAAATTCCTACAAGGATCAAGCAGAATAGTACTAAGCTGGACACTAATAAATGTTTTGTAAATGACTGGTATATGGACACTGACACATCTACTGAATGCTGCACATCACAGTCAGTTTGAGTAAAAAAAACTGCAATTTGTTGATTAAGCAATAAGTACGCTAAAATCTGCTTTCAGGTAATTGTTATTTTTTCAAGGAAAAAGACTCCAATGTTTTAATAATATTTATTGAATTTCATTAATGATCTCTAATTTATAAATTAACCTTAAAATATAAATTATTGAAATTGTTAAATAATATTAAGACTCTTTAAATTTTGTGAAATGTCAAAACATTGTAGATACATTTATTATGCAGAGCCCTGCATTATTATGCATTTTATAGGTATCTCCCATTTCACTAACAATATTGAGTCACAGCTTTGTAAAAAAATGCCTTATATATTTTCCATACTCAGTGCACATTTGATGAGGATAAAGTCTAGTTCTCATATTTACAGGAGTGGGGGAAAAAAAACCTCGTAGATGGTTTGCCCATGGTAGGAAATAGGAAAAAATCCATTTAGAAAATGTAATTCAAACTACTTAGGGGGCTGCACTAAACTCTATAAGTTACAGCCTAGAGCAGGATGCAGGGCTCATTGTATAACACAATTTTTCTGCATCTGAAATCTAACATCACTGGACACCTTAAGGAAGAGTATTTTCAAATCCTGAATGCTCCAAAGCTCGGCACAAGATGTACACCTCTAGTTACATCAATATCTTCTTTCTCTGAATGCCGCTGTTGGCATTACTATACTATTACAGTAATACATTTCTAGCTCCAGGAAAAACAAACTTTGTGTATATTACTTTAGAATGAGGAGCAGCAAAAACCACTGGAAGAAGTTTCAGAGGGAGTTATATGGATGCCAAAGGAATTGTGAATTAGGACAGTATACTCTGAAAATCCATGGAAGGCCTTGCCGCAAGTTATATACATCAATTGCAAATTTTATAAAAACACTTTACATATATGTATATATATATGTGTGTATATAGCCAAAATAAATTTACAAAAAATATATTTTGATTTCCTAGAGGCTAAAATCTATGACTTGATTATTTTTTCATCACAAAGTATCTACCACAATTTTTGCGCATACTATTGTAGTCAATTACTTGCTATTGAATGGAAATTTCTATTGAATAGTTATATTGAATAACTACATAAGTTAGAATTTGTAAACTATATTGTGGAGGAAATATCTGAGTACAAGTAGACTTGCAGGGGAATACATAGAAAAAGATGAAAGTGTGTGTAGGATAAATATGAAAATGATATTCATTATGAAGAAGAGAACTTCGAAATATTTTCTGAGTTTGAATATTTATGAGAATGAGAATTTGACTAAATGACTGAATATTTGGTCTATTTAGGAATTGTTATTTCTTTAGATGTTATTTCCTTAGATGTCACAATTGATATTTGCAATTAAGCTAATTAAAAGGAGTGCTTCTTTAGAAATGCATACTGAGGGCCGGCCCTGTGGCTTGGTGGTTAAGTGCGCGCGCTGCGATGCTGGCAGCCCGGGTTCGGATCCCGGGTGCGCATCGAGGCACCACTTCTCCGTTCATCCTGAGGCCGAGTCCCGCATACAGCAACTAGAAGGATGTGCAGCTACGACACACAACTATCCACTGGGGCTTTGGGGGGAAAAAATAAAAATAAATAAAATCTTTAAAAAAAAAAAAAAAAAGAAATGCATACTGAAATTTGATGGATGAAAGGATAAACTGTCTCAGAATAATATGGGAGGAGAATGTGTGGGGATATGAGTGGGACACAATAGGCTTTAATTTGATGCAGATAGGGGTTTATTATAGTCTGACTACCTTTTTGTATGTTTCAAATTCTCTAATATAAAATATTCAAAAATACATAAAAAGAAAAATAAAACAGAGGACTATGATGTAACTATGAATAAAATTTTTAATGTTACATAATTATTTTGTATTGTCATTTAAAATTTTTAAGAATTTATAATAGTGTTTTATTAATTTTCTTGAGTTTTGTAGGTAGATGACTAAATCATCTACAAATTATATTTTGCCACCTAATTTCCAAAATTAAGTTTATAATATGAGTTACCTGCTTTGTCGTCTTAGTTCTAGAACCTCCAACACAATATTGTAGAGTAAGATAACTACATTCCACACAA